GAATAGAAGGAATGTGCTCAATGTGAATGATGAGAAGCGACGGACAATTTGGTCGATAGAAAAGAAAACATCTATTGTTTTTAATCAACTTTATTCATGAGAGCCTGAATCGCCAATAGATTTAATTAAATTAATACTACAGTTATATGTAGAACCATTATCTTATAAATACCAAGTTGATATTAATCTTTATGCAGGAGTGTGGGTCTTGCCTATATTCAAACTCAAACTCCCATTATTTTTCAAATTGCTCTTGTCAATACTTTGTTTGTTCATTTTAGACTTTTTGCTACCTAATTAAACCGAGTCTTCATTATCAGTTACGAGAGCAATTCTTATATTTAGTCTTTTGTTTTCATCGTTATCATAAAGGCAACCATCTCCAAAATTTATTGATCTTGCAATCCTCTTCACTATAGCTTTACGAGCACCTCGATAACGATTGCTTAACGCATTGTCCAATCGAATCGATTTTCTCTTCGGGCTGAATGATCTTGTTTGACTAACTAAGGACTACTACACGTCACCTTATACACGATGGCAAATCATGAATCACATGTTTCGTTGCATTTCTATCCAATTCTATTATTTTTGTCATGTGTTATGTTGCTGCTCGACGTCATCAGAAAGAACTAGTATAGTTTGAATATTCACCGTTGAAAACTATCAGAACAAGTGCAGTTTATTATAGTAATAAGAAACGATGAGTCATGTGTCAGAAATTTGGATAGGATCTTTGGTGTTTGGTCCTATATTCGCAATTCTATTTGGCACATCAAGTAGCTCTTTAGTTTTGGGTTTTATAAAATATCACGAATGTCCACTTCAACCACTTCTTCCTCAAGGCCTTATTGGCTTCGGACTCATAGGCTCAATATGTAGTATTGTTGCTCTTATTTTGGTAAGTTTAAATATAAAATTAACAGAAAAGATCAGCAATAGGTTTTCAAATTTCGACTTTTGTATGTCTTGTCCTAAATGAAGATATTATTCAGTAGAGTGATCTTGGATTTTCGAGGAGTATTGTAAATATATAAACTTAGTTGATGAAAGAATAATCTAAACATACGCTCTTTCAGACAATAGTCTCCTATTTCAAAGTGGATGACTCTGGCACTCATTTATGGTATCTACTTTATGCAATTATAATGTTAGTTGTATACGGTATATGCACAATTACTTGGACAGCTATTGTTTGTATAAATAAAAATGATTCGTTTTAAAATGTTTGATAAATAACAATTTAGATTATCCTCATACTTCGCACAAAATACTCTTATTATCAATCAAACAATCGAATGGATCCTAAGTCATTCTGCAACTCACAGATTTATCATTTCACCTGTATTTTCGCAGCTATAGGCGCTACACTTGTATTGATCTCTGGTATTTGGTTGATCCTATGTCTATGCCGGAAATTTCACAGATTTCTCAGGAAAACATTATCAATAGAAAAAAGCCAATGAACAATGACCATTTGCTAATGCTGTTCCATGTATTTTTATTCAAATAATTAGTATCTCCCGCAGATAAAAAAAAGACATAAAATACAAACAATTGTATGCATATAAGAAAAAACATTTATTTCGAACTCACATCACCAATAGATACATGAGAGTATTAAGTACAATAAATAAAATGAAAAAAGGTGGTGTGGATGTTTTATGAGTAGCCTTTGGAATGATAGCTACACTCACAGTCTATTTTCATCTATGGAGAAGCAAAAGAAATTATTTTCATAACGATATTAATAGTTAAGTAAGTGTTTAGCATCATAAAAAGCACTCCATTTGCTCGTACTCGACTAAATACATATGTTACATATAGAGAACAAGGAAAATATTTCTTTTTAACGTAATTCCTCTATTAAATTTTGAGCCTTATCATATTAGTGATATTGAAAATTGAATATATTATGATACATATAATATTGAAGGTGTGGGTGTATGAGTTTGTCTGTTTTCTTCATCAGCACGTTCACGCACTAAATATGAATCAAATACTAATTAGATAGTTTAATAAAACAAAATAAAATAGAGATTAACAATGATTTTGATTATCTGTTCATATTTATCTACGGCTATTTTGCCGATCATTTTCCACCAAAACAAGTAAGAAAAATACTTTTTTTTAAAATATATATTTTATTTTTTCCAAAGATGATCTGCAATATAATTAAATTTACTAGACAAAATGAAAGTTATTACAAAGTCGAATACGAAATTAATGGGAAAAGTAGTACTATTGAAATTTAAAAAATCCTTGAACAAGAAAAAGAAATAGCTGCATCGCAAGTAGAATATGGAGAAAATTAATTTAAAAAGTTTTATTTTTTGTGAATTTCAACGAATACCGTATACAGAAAAGAGCTCTGATAAACGACATTTGTACACGACCATATACGATCGTACTAAACCCGTTATCTGATTTTTTACTGATTATTATTCTTTTGTATTCAGCAACTTGCTTTTATTATATTTGAAAAATTGCACACAATAATACAGCTTTTCTTTGTTGAAACTATATATCATTAGGTCTGAAGATTATTTAAAGCCAATGTTTCATGAGAAAAAAAAAAGAATTATAAGGAGAGGCCACAACTGTAGATAGAAGAAATCATGACAACTTGAAGTAACTGTTATAGTCAGCACAATGGCCTGACTACATAGTACAGTATCTTCCATTTTACGTTCTTCATCTATATTTTATAGGAAATACACAACGAGGGAAGAGAACGAGAAAAGAGGAAAGAAAAAACGATCCCCATATACACGAACTTCTTTCACCGCTTCGTTTAGTATTTTTTTCCAGATTACGAAGAAAACTTATCAGCTTAGAGATAGTGTATTAATAATCGTTTTTCTTCTTTTCTTTCGTTTACATGTGAGTGTGGGTATATCTGTTCTTAATCCACACCCACATCCCATAATTCATCTATTAAATATTGAGCCTTATCATATTAGTGATATTGAAAATTGAATATCTTCTGATACATGTTATCTTTTGTTCATGTCAAACTCTTCTTCCATTTCAATAACTGTTGCTTTATTTTATATCACGTTATGTTTTAGGGTCATAATGATTCTTGAACGATTGTTAACATTGTAATGAATCCAGTATGTACTGAACAATCGTACAGAGTACACAAGTGAAAAAAGAATAGCACAATTGATTATCAGAATTGTACTCTTTTTTTTTCATATATTTGTCAGCTATTTTATCCATAATATATGCCACCACCGATGATGTTATTAGAACTTGGATCCGATAAAGAGACAAACATTTTATCATGAATATCACGATGGAACATTGATAGCAGGTATTTTATTCTCTTTGATTTTTTCGAATCCCTCCAAGTCATCATGTTCGGATAATACATAAAATAAGATAAATAAATTTTGTAAAACCATCAATATAACAATGATAGTCAAACGTATATGTCAAAAATAAAATATTGAATAATGATCGAACAATTTTCTTTTCTATGTTTTTTCTTTAGTGAAAGAAAGTATTGACTTGTGTGTAAATAAAACAGTGACAATTAATCGAATAGTGTATCTTAAGGGTGTGGGTGTTTGTTAGCCAGTTACTCTAACTAACTATTTATTTATTCAAACAAAATCAACTAGAATCACTTAGTTCATACGTATGTAAAAGACAATTAGTCGGTCTCATGAGCAATATAGATAACAGAAAGAAGAGAGATAGTGATCGTAGAGAGCGTCACTGGCTAACATTGTGCATTGAAATTTATTTACTTCTACATCGTCATATCCATGCCCACCATTAATACATCTAACCGATTGAGTTACAATCATCACTCTTTACTGAACAACATTTACATATCGGATTTTTATTAACAATACAAAAGTGAGTTTCTGATAGAAAAATTCACAAATAATTATAACATTAATAGAAGTTGATAGCAATGTTCAAAGTTGCATGCTCATATAAATACATCGATACTGTATCGACTAACAGAGATCTTATCTAAAATCTCTGTTGCCTTTTGTTCATCGCATTGTTTATGCTCCGCAATGATCTTAATAAAACAGTTTTTCATTGATCCAGCAAGTTTTGTTGCGCTACCACAAGTATAAAAACGTGCACCTTCCGAATACAATTTGATGATATATTTTCTATCTTCCCAAACTAAATTCTGAACGTACTTTTTGTCACCATTTGATTCACGAGAAAAAACATGTTTCACTTGTACTGCACCGACTTTCGACCATTTCTCAAGTTCATCCGAATATAAGAAATCTTTTTGTGATCGACATCCAAAGTATAAAATGGTAGGTCCTACTTCTCTGCCACATATCAACTGTGCTGCTCGTTCTTGAATAAAACCACGAAATGGTGAAATTCCAGTCCCAGCAGCAAACATAACTACGGGCACTTTGGTATCTGCAGGCAGATGAAAATTTGCGTTACTCGCTCGGACACTGCAACTGAGACGATCAGTTTTTTGCAGATTGGCAAGGTAGTTTGAAGCAACGCCATAGTATCGTCCATATCCACTTTTTGCCGGAGCATCAAGTACATCAATTGTAAGTGTCACTGCTTCTGAATTCCATAGAGGCGAAGAAGAAATACTATATTGACGTACACGAAGTGATGGTAGCATACGAAAATAATGTGAAAATGATAGATCACATGAAGGATATAGTTCGAGAATGTCGAGTATACTAAGACGTTTGTCGAGAATCTCAGTTAGGTATGTATTGCCGGCGAGACTTGAAAGTTGTGCTTGTTCCTTTTCATCTTTGCACACGGCAGCAAGTGTTTGTAGTTGCTTTCGACTTATCGGTTGAATCAATTCAACATAGCCACTTAAAATCTCGGATGCATTCACTGGATAACCAGTCGGAAGAAAAGTTTCTGTAGATGAAAGAATTTTAATTTGGGTATCGGTAGATAAATTGAATTGTTTAAGAACTCGACTAACGACTTCAAATGGATTGGTTGGCAACACAGCAAGATAATCGCCTGTGCGATAAGTTTGACCCTTTGGCAATTCAATTTCGATATGTCGTTTTCCAGGTCCAAGTTCACTTGCTTCAACAAGTAATCTATTCTCTTTGACAACTCCAACATCGGTTATTTGCCCAAGATTTCTTGTTGAATTGACAATTTCGATCGATAGTTTCTCTTGGCTAATAACACTTTGTAATCCATCCGTTTTACGTAGAACTTGAAAAAGATTTTCTTTCCAAGCTTCAAACGCTCCAAAAAAATCACCACCAGCATCACCAACTCCACGCTCGACAATTCTTGTTCCACCAGCTTTTTCAAGCGTTTCATCGATATAAGTCGGTATCTTTTGATACGTATTCACCCAATCATGATGACCAGCCCCAAATACTGCATAATTGATTCTGAGTTCTGGCTTTGTTTCGAGATAAGCTACAAATTGTTTTGCATTATCACATGGTTTGCCTTCGTACGAAGAAGTGACTATAATGATAGGTCGATCACAAGGAAGAGATCCAATGGCAGAATCGAGATTTGAAATTGTGGCATTGAATCCATTTGCAGGTGCTTCTGAGGCTAATGCTCCGGCAAATGATTCACATGAACCCGAATTACTACCAAAGAGAATTGACATTGGTCTAATATTATTTGTTTCGACCGACGGTATATGAACAGGTATGTTTTCAGTTTGTTTAGTGTTGATACCTAATGGAATTTTTCCTCGCTGACGTGGTCGAACTCGAATTTTGAAGCCTTCAGGTTTGATTGTTAACGTCTGTTTAACACGAAGATCATAGCTAGGATCAACAAATTCAATATTAAAGTGTTTAAGAATGAGTGTGACAGCTATAAGACTTTCTTGTATAGCGAAAGGTCGGCCAATACAACTACGTTGACCATTTCCGAAAGGTTTCCATGCATTTGGCGGCAAGTTTTCGAATCCTCCATTGAGCATTCGTTCAGGTAGAAATTCTTCTGGACGATCCCATACTTTTGGGTCACGCTGTAGTTGGTGTAATAGGACTAATATGCGTTCGTCTTTATGTACTTTGTAGCCACCAGGAAGAATTGCTTCATCTTCTTTCGATCGCAAGCCAAATGCCGGCGCTGTAGGCTGCAATCGAAGTGTTTCTTTAAGTACTGCATCGATATACTTTAATTTGGGCAGAGTATCAATAGTGATTTCATCAATTTGGTCAGCTTCTGCTTGTGCTTTTTGTAAGGCATGTGGATTCTTGAGAAGGTAATAAAAAGTAAACGAAAGCAGTCCAGACGTTGTTTCGTGTCCCGCAATCAAGAAAGTGACCATTTGATAACGAATATTTTCATCGGATAATTGATAGCCAGTATCTGGATCTTTTCCTTTAATCATTCGATTGAGTAAATCGTTGATATCACTTGGATGTTCTCTTCTCTGTTGTACGATTTCATCACACAATTTATGAATATATGCAATATCATCCTGATACTTCATTGCAGTCCCACGCATAAGTGTATTTTGTAGAGATAATCGTCGAGCACGGTTACCACTCTCGCTGAGAACATTGACCATAGCATCGACGAAATGATGCATTTTGTTGTGGTAGAAACTATTGAATCGATAATCGAAACTGCAAAGTGCAATTGTATCCAATGTTAATCTTGTAAAATTGTCACAGGCATCTATTTCTTCTCCAGCAAAGCGTTCCCATCGTAAAATTAATTGTGAAGCAATATCCATCATCTCTGAGAACATACCTCGAATTGCATTGGGTCCAAAGGCAGGAAGAAGAATCTTGTGTGCAAGTTTCCAATTAGGCTCTGATGTATGAGCAGTGAAGAGTCCATCACCAGTAACAGCACGGAGCTCTATCAAAGGTTTACCAAGCTCTTTCTCAAATCTTGATTCATCACAGACGAAATTGACGAGTTCCTGACTAGATAATACTACGATATTTTTTCCCAATATTGTCAAACGATAGATATCACCATATAACGTATGAAGTCGTCGAAGTGATCCTATCGCATAATTGGAATCAATTTCATTTAGATTGCCGATGAAAAAGGTTCCTGGAGGTTGTGGAATTGGTGTGGACATATTGTTTGATGGATGTCGGTGAATAAAATCGAAAGGAAATTAAATTTTACTTTGTATTTCAAACGACGTCACTTAGAATTGAAAACAGAGTTGACTAATAATCTCTGATCTAAATAGAATATGTAAAAATAACAAACAGTCACAAAAAAACGAACTAACTATTTCTTAGTACTTTTTCGACAATCTACTTCTGTGAAATGCTGCCCAAATGAATGAATTTTTAGCGAAAAAACTCTACAAAAAACGAATCACAAAGAAATACGCTTACTTAATCGGTCACCGAACGAACGATTGTTGTGATACCAGACATTTTGTATTTTTTATCTTTCTTACACGTAGAAACACACACTGTCAGTCTGCTTATATACATATACTTACCTTCAAGGGTGATAGCAAACGTTCTTTGCGTTACTTTTCGAACGTGCAAGTGCGTGCACTCCAGTGACTAATATAATTTGCGTACGGAGTTGCACGAAAAAAAGCATGGTCCCATTGTTTTTCTTTTTCTTTCTCTAGTCTGTTTTTAATGCGATGCGAAGCAGAAGCATTTATGTAGTCCGTCGCGTACGCATCCAAATTCAGTATTCTTGTGGCGCGATGATCTCAAGAACTGAAATTCGTCTGATGCTCGTTGAAACGGCGTTAGTAACATTAAAATCTCTATATCATACAAATTTTGTCCGATTTCTCCTGTCAAATTCGGTTTGGGCAAAGTAAAATATGGATCGCATATTTCAGTTCGATGCGATGTAGTGAGACTTGCCCTTCATTTAGCCATAATCAAAATGACGTCATAAGCAAATACTAGCCACACGCATCTCTGTCCGCAGCTGATTATAGATAATGAATCATACAGATACTTAATCGATCAATCGAAATCGATCCTTAAAAATGTATCGCTAAGTAAGAATGGAGTTTTCTCAGTGATGAATTTCATCATGTCGACATAAATAGTATTCAAGATTTCTCTAAATTGCAGATTTTTCGTGAAGATCCGATTCGAGGTTCGCATCGCATTTCGTATTCGAGTGAAACTTGAATACCATCTAGTTTTATTATTTTTTACTCACTTGACGTACGCATCACAAGTCGTCATTTTGTGTCGCGATGGTCTCGATAACCGAAAATCGTAGAAAACTCGTTGAAACGTGAGATCGAAGTATCAAGATCGAACTTAGAACATCTGTTTTCTAATCTTTAAACTGAAGTTCCGTTCACTCACAAGTGTGGTTCCAAAATGATGAAAATGAAAGAAATTTATCACGAGATAATTAAAGTGACGTCATGAACATATGTTAGCCACTATAGTCGATTCATTTACAGCTGATCTGTGATAATCAATCATGGAGACAATTAATCGATCAATCGAAATTGATCCTTAAGAATGTATCGCTAAGTAAGAATAGAGTTTTCTCAGTGATGAATTTGATTATGTCGACATAAAAAGTATTCAAGATTTCTCTGAATTGAAGATTTTTCGTGAATATCCGATTCGAGCTTCGCATCGCATTCGTATTCGAGTGAAACTTGAATGCCATCTAGTTTATTTAGAAATCCTTGAGAATTTCTTTGTTATTAATACTCGTTTGATAGAGCTTTACTTTGCTATTTTTCTTTCAAATAATTATGTTAGATATATTGTCTAATGAACGGAAAATATTTAGATTTAAGAATTAGTTTGAATTTTATTCATAAGATCAATTATGTCGTATATAGCAACTAAACGAAGATGATGATGACATCATTTGCGTCTAGGAATAAAACTTTGAATGTATTGAATATTTCGTTGAATACTAATAGCATCTGGATGAGTAGGTCCTACAGTTTGGTTTAGGATGACAGCAGCCTTTTCATAATATGCTAACGCTTGTTGAAGATTTCGTTTTTCAATATAAATAGTACCCATATTATTGTATATAGCTGCAAAGTCAGGATGATTAGGAGGAAGCGTTTTTTGAAAGATTGTCAATGCCTGATTGAAGTGTTCCAATGCAAGATCCGAGTTGTGAAGATATAGATAAGCAGTAGCCATATTCGTGTGTAATCCACCCAACAGATAATGATTTTCATGCAAATTCTTTTTGTAAATGTTCAATACTTTTTTTTGACAATCAAGTGCTTCCAAGTATTTCTCTTGTTTCAAATACACAGCTGCAATATTACTGAAAACTACGGCTAATTTCGTGTGATCTTCACCGTAATTATGCCTATATATTTTCAAAGCCTCGTTGTAAGATTCAATCGCACTCTTGTATTCACCCTTCCGATAGTAGGAAGCTCCAACTAAATTGTGAATATCGGCAATGCTAGGATCATTTGATCGTCTTAATTGTAATCTGATACAAAGCGCTCTCTGATACCAAACAAGACCCCTGTTGAAGTCACCTTTTCTTTCCGCTACATTACCAAGATTTACATAGCAAACACTAAGATTATACTCTAGAGAGAAGATTTCAAGTAAGACACATGTTTAAAAGGCAGAACTATACCCTTAGTTTCTTTCGTGTGATGATCAGGCGGTGATTCATCGAGTAAACGAAGAAGGTATCTTTCAGCTTCGTCGAATTTCCCCATATTAGCTAGGACAATACCAAATTCACCGACACTTGAATGTCCTTCGTTCAGATAGTCGATTTTCATTTGATCGAATATAGGCTTAACATCATGACCATTCTCGCTGCTCAATTTTAATTGAATAATACATAATTGACCTTCATAACGAATATGCACAAGTCGAAAGATCGATCCTAACATCATAAGTATTTCTTCTTCATCGGGAATATAACTAAATGGAGTAATATTAGCAAACGGTTTAACTCCATCAATACGAGGATCAGCTTCAATCTCAAACAGTACTGGCTGCAAATCACCATTTGATACTTCTATATCACCAAGGTAAAACACAGCTACTTCTCTATCAAGCGTCGTAGAAAGAAATGAATTCATTGAAATCAATTGTCCCATAAAACTTTTCAATTGCTGAAGTTCTTTTTTAGAGATTAATTGACTGCGATAGACACGCGCTAGGGATGGATATCGATATTGTTCGAGTTGATTTCGAAGATCACGTATAAAGAATCCAAATAAATAAAGTAAATCAATATTTTGAACACGCAGAGCTTTATTCAATAATTGATATAGAAAACATTCCCTTGTATACCATTTCAAAGCTTGATCTGCTGAATAATTTTCTTCGAATTCGCGAATAATATCTAATTGAGAATCATTCTTTGCATATTCTTTCTTCGAATAAGTAATAAATTCTTTCTTGTCTGTTGAATTCGATTTTATTCGAAGTAAACAGTCGATCAGCATTTGCGAATGAACAAATTGACCATTAAGCTCTGTTGTAGATTTTTCTCGAGTTCCACTTGTATGACAAACGTTAATTAACAATTGAGATTCAAATCTATCGTGAGTAGTTTGCTTTTCTTGAGCTGATAAAACTTGAATTACAAGTTCGTTGATGTCTTCTGTTACATTTTTAACCTGAACCACAAAGTTGAGATGATATAGCAACTGATTGCATGAACGTAAAAGAAAGTTTTGCTTACTTTTTTATATATTTTAGTCCATTCTTCAGTTCTCCGATCCATGCAATAAACAAAGATTGATGAAATTTGTATAAGCTGATGAATACGTGGCACAATCAACTGACCTGACCGACCGCCCACAATCAATATAATTCGATGGCCCTTAGGTAGTGATTGAATATATTTTTCACATGCTTTGTCATCTGTGAATGATTTTAAATGATCTGTTGATGCACCAAGTAACTGCTGAGCGTTGATATATTCTTCTGTATCATTAACAGAAGCATCAAGCCATACGATCGATCTATTAATAGTATTCGAGATCTTTGATGCATGAACAGCCCCCATCAATATGCCAAAAAGTTATAGTTTCCTATAAGAATAAAGTTGTGTTGTTGTATAGTTTTGAAAGAGTTAAATTGATGAAAACGAGCTCATAGTATAAGTGAATTTTTAAATCAAAAAAAATATATAGTAAGCAAGCGTATACTTTTGTTTCTTTCACTGAAAAAGAAACACAATTTTACAAGCACAATATAGACCTTTATCATCATTCATAGACAATTCTCTTTGTTATGAACGCAAAGTGTATACAAATGATTTTTGAAGCCAAAACCACCAACATCCCATATATTAATATATGTAAAATCCAAAAAGTACTATTGATGCATATATTGATTAGAGGGAACATATTCGGAATAGGTGAGCGTGCATGACCCTTGTTTCTGAATTTAAATAGAGAAAGATAGAAGGTGAATCATACCCATAAGATATGAACTGTTATAATACTACCCTGCCAATTTCGTTGATTTTCTCGAATATCTGCTGATCGCAGTTGCTTTTCGTTGGTAGGTTTCACTGGCAGCGTCTAATGAGACCATTTTCTTTTGAAATTCTTGAGAATACGCTGCTAGATGATTGTTTCTGCGTCACCATGCAACTTCTTTCCAACATGAGACGGAAGAAGCAGAAGAAGAAAAATATCTTGTTACTCGCAATGTGACAAAACGAAAGAGAAAGAAACAGCAAACACGTGGAATATACAACACAGCACTCGAGTCTACCAAAATCGCCATGTTGTTTGAATGTGAGTGTACAGTCTGTTTGTATGCAACCATTATCAAGATTTCGTGCATAGCATTTCATCTTACTTTAACTGATGTTATAATTTGAGAATCGCGCTTCAAAAGCTATCAAGTATTCTCTACTAATTTTAGTAGGAAACTTAATGTAACCCATCGTTCCCATAGATTCTGTGATACTCACACGCAATCGACATATGCTTTAAGTGTGATAGATCGAGAGCGATTAGTTTATGCTGACATCAAATACTGAAAACATAAAAGAGTCGTCTAGTTTATTTGCTACTTTTATTTTCTTTCGTATTATTTTGTTGACTTCAAGCATGACTTACGATATCTAATGCATAAATATTGATTTCCCGTTTAGTAATAAATTGTTTTAATATTCGATTTCTTTATTTCTTATCCAACTAGTCTTTTTTCCGCATAGAATCTGACTTGAAATATTTCTTGAAAATTGCATGTATTTTGCAATAGAAAAAAGTATATCTCGAAATCTTCCATACAACTGCTGATCACTCTGATACAATGGTGTCAAAAATTTGCTGGCTTGACCATAGAATTTTATGTGAGGACTTCTTATTGAAGTATATTTTGGTAAAGCTAACTCAACATTATTATCACTTTCGGTCAAAACTTTGTTCAAAAAATAACTATCTAATAATGCCATATTAGCACCTTGGCCTAATTGTGGACTCATTCCATGTGCTGCATCTCCAATAAACACAATATTTTTATGATCGTATTTTTTCATATAGACGTCAGCATAAACGGCGAATGAATAATTTGCTTGACTTAGTTTTTCAATTAACTCAGGTTTTTGATGACGAAGATGAAATTTCATGTCTTTTAAAATCTCTTCTTTCGTATACGTATTTCTCGATGTAACTGGTAAACTCCAAAAAACACTTATAATCCTTTTCCCATGATCGTCTACTCCTGATGGTAGCATGCCCAACATTTCTCGCGAATACTTTAGATATTGATATAAAGTGTTCGGTACAGTATATTCTTCTTCAATAGTCGTCCACAAACAACCATATGGATATAGTCGATATGATTGCTTAATCGGTATTTGTTCTCGAAGACAAGAATGTGAACCATTGGCCACAATTAAAAGATCACTGAATAATGATTGATCTTCTAGAGACGTAATTTCTCGTTCTAATTTGAATTCAATGTTTGCCTTTGTTTTACATTGATCATACAACAGTTGAAAAAGTGTAGAACGATGAATTCCGACACCGAAACATTGTGTCGCATAGTCATTGTATGAAGTAAGAAATACTTGTCGATCGCCATGATTTATTCCTACGAGATTATAAATTTTTTCCCCACGCTTTAGCAAATCATCATAAAGATTTAGTTTTCTCAATACTTCCATAGATGACGGCTGTATTAGAATGCCCGCCCCAACACTTTGAACACGATTAAATTTATCGTAAATAGTTATGAAATTTGATGGATTCCGACTAAGATACAATGCAGACGATAAACCAGCAAAGCCGGAGCCAATTATTTTGATTTTCATTTCTAAAATGAGCAATAAAACATCAAACGAAATAAGATACTATTTCTGGAGAGTTTTTGAATTTAAATGATTGCGTGAAAATTCTTTTAATACATAGTTAAAACAAAAACTCATAGCTTTCACCTACAGACATAGAATAGGTAATTTTTCTCGCTCAACTTCTGCACGACATACGCTTGACGTTGAAGAAAAATTGTGTTCTTTTTCTACATGTAACAAGCGGTGTCTAACAGAGGAGAGCAGTAAAATGAAAGAAATGAGAAAAAAACTGATGTAGTGAGTCATAGAAACATGAAACATACAGAATGTTATATATAACGACAAACTAAAGGAGCCTGCGAAAAGATATGGCGGGAGGGGGGCTGATAAAAGAAATAGTTGAATGCTTACATCAATACTCTGCAACAGATGTCCTTAACTATTGGATGTAATCTTTTCCTCTCTCAGAGTCATTCAGTCAGAAATTTAGATACTATCCATTGAAGTAAACCGGAGTGCTTTTCTGATCTTAATTTAATGAAACATCGTCGACAAACTGTCATTTCACTTCTTGTGAAATTATACAATGTGTCTATATGAGGCACTGTTCGAAATTATAATGATATTGTTCAACATTGAATCGGTTCACATGGTAATCGGTCTTGAAACAGTGAGAAGGTTTCGATGAAGAGATAGGCTACGACAGAACCTATCAGTGCACCTAACTGAACATGGACACCGAACCAAAACAATCCATTTGGTGAATGCTGTCGAACATAGTTGGCAATAACAAGACGAGGATATCCGAGTAGAATATATGTACTCAACCAAATGAGAATTACTAAAACGCTGCCCTTGGTCGTATTGGCATAGGGTGGACATGGACTCTTGAAAGAAATTACTAAATCGAAACTGAATGTAACAGTTCCTAGTAAAATCATCAGTAACAAATAACGTTTGCCAACGATTGGTTTAATCGTTCCGAGTACCCAAACGAGTGACAACATCCACGGAGAAAGAATCGTGCCCAAGTAGAAGATTTCATGACCGTATGGCATCAAAACAAAAGCTGAAATAGATAGAAGCACACCGAACAGAACTGAACTCGTATAAACACAGCCGATGGAAAGAAGAAAATATAACGGAGCAGTCAGCGAATATTGGTCTAATTTTCTGACATGATTATCATCGTTCACAATGTCTTTTGTAGTGATTTCATTCATTTGAAATACGACAGATTTTTTTGAAAAATACTGTAGGGAGTTCTGAGCAACTTTGGTCCATTGTAGAATTACGAATGCCACGAATGAAAAAACTAACAAAAAGAATATGCAAAGAAAATAAACTGATACTGAAAATCGAGCATTCTGGTAAACAGGTATAATCGAAGTATTCGATGATGTAAGATTATCAGCAACTGAAATACATTCAAGTCGGCCATTACCTTGAGCAATAGCTAGAAGACTAGGCAGAATCGTGGTTAGACTTTCGCCAAGAAAGAGAGCACTGGTAAATTCGGCTCGAAAACGTGTCATGTAGTCAGAAAATGTAACCATCGAAGTACAATCAAGTAGTGCTAGACAGAATGCAAGAATGAGCAGTGATATGCTACGATTTTGTCTAAAAACGAAACTTGTTTTTTGCCAAAAGAAGACAAGTAATAGACACGACAGCATACCGATAAGAATAATAACATAATTCAGAGGAATAAAATTGACAGAACGCTTTTGAAACGCGCATTTGATAATAACAAGAACCAATGGTGCAATGTTGCCGATATTGGTGACCAAACCAATAAAAGCTCCCAGTTTCCAGCCTTCTGGTTGGGTCAAAATGATTTGCGGTAATTCAGAAAACATACCGTTAATGTCTGTCCACGACGACAGAAATACTAATGTTAAAAGGAAATATGTAATATACTCTTTAGGCTTCCAGTGTTTGTAAAACATGCTTGAAATGGCTTGAAAATCGTAACAGCAAGCGAAAGAATCACGAAAGAATAAAGGAATAAAATGAAAAAGAGCCCATCTGCTAGAATAGGAGATAAATGCATTTATTATCTTTTCTTTTTCTTTGGTTCGTTCTTCTGTTACTTTATGAATGATGACTTTTTGCGCTTGATGCGAGAGACCTCAGGAAAGTACAGTATATAAAATTCAACAGTCTTCCTTAATCCAGTTGAAGTTTGCAATCAAAACTCGCAAAGGGCACGACAATCAAATCCTTATCAATCATAATTTAGAGCATTTTCTAATCTTCGAGTTTGCAATCTCTTATAAAAGAAAATATTTGTTAGTCCTAAGATACGAAGAAGTACGAATGTTGATTTTCATGATATTAGACTAGAGCACATGAAATTATGTCACTTGAGAGTGTGTATGTTATCAACATATGATACCCAACAGTTACCCTAATCTGATCTCTTTCTTTTGCCATTATGAAATTCAACATAGAGAAGGCTGACAAGAACACGCCCACACTCTCTTTTATATACTTTTATTTGAAATCAGGTAAGATGAGATATAATACAACGTTTAGGGAACATTTATTGAATATCGAAGGAGATACAAGTCGCGAAAAGAAAAACCTTTTGTGTAGTGGTCAGTTCAATAAATAATCATCAAAATGCATCAGTTTTAACGGTCGACTGAACAGTGACTTTTGTCGTTTGTCGTCTAATAAGTGTTGTTGCTGTGAAAGGCATATCTACTGGTGTTAGAATTTGGTTATAAATATTCGCTTAATTTATTTATAACGAAAGTAACAAAAAACGAAACGGTAATCGACGATAACGATAACGATAACGATAACGATCATACATGAACGGCATAGTCGCTCCGCTTGTCACGGAGACAACTCAATATCTTCACACCCTTCTCTTCTCTCTGTTCTATTCTGTATATACTAGATTATCGATCTATATTAATATACACTTCGAAGACGAATCAAATAGAAAGAGACAAAGGAAAATAGCATAGAGGTTATTGGGACGGTAGGTACAGTCCCATAACAGCTGGGCCGACTTGATTATGTCCTAGATTGAGTAGATATTTCAAATGAATTTTAATTGTTTGTCGGAAACGTGGCGATAAAAGAAGATATATGTAAAAGGATCAAGCATAATTCATAGAAGCGATAGAAACAGTCAACTGGTTAATGAGAAGTGTGATCGAAATTTGCTATTTCACTCTGTCCAAGTGTACCAATCGCATAAATATTAAAAGCAGCACGAGGAAGTGTAAAAACTATACTTATAAGAGTTTGAGTTAACATCATTCGTGCCATTTTTTGTTTCCATGTTAACAGGCGAGTTTGATTTGGTTACTGACGAACATGAGTCACAAGGGGAATATTACTGTAGATTGTGTGCTTTTCCTTAGCATTATATGTGTGTGTGTGAGTTGTTTTCCTTTCTTTGTGTAGTGTGTATTTCGTTCTTTCTTTCGTTCCCTTTATTCTATCTACTCTACATTCATTTCTATCTCTCTCTCTCAGGGTCAAATTGTATGGATAGCGACCTTAATCTATTCGTCGTATTGCGTAGTAATATTTCTATTACGCAGTAATATTTGCTATTGCGTTTTTGATAATACGTGATACTATCCTATATTTATATATATATATATTTCTGCTGTCAGCAGTCTTGTCTTTCGTCTTTGTCTTTCTCTCTATTCGTTCTGATTGTGTTCTTATGCTAATAAAGAACGGAACTCACATTAAAAAAATAACATAAATCTACAATTACGATATGTCAATAGTCCAAATAATAGTAGAACAGTTAAAGGAAGAATAACATACAGAATAGGAGACAAAATGAGAGTTGCTATTTGCATAAAGGGATCGCTTGTAAACCAACAAGCATATGTTGGTGGCACAAGATCATAATACATGAGAAAATGAACATTCACAGGTGTCCAAAAGATAACCTGAATAGTAAAGAGACAGCGAGTAACACGAATTGAGCTCAATTGTCGTATTCGACCTGATTGTAATGTACATGCCCAACAGTCAAATACAGGCAAACAAAGAAAACTCATTGCAACAGACACCATCATTTGAATACCCAAGGCCAGTAACTTACACGCAATGGATGAAACAGATATTGACGTCTATGGAATTATTTGAAAAAGTACAATCAACAAGACATTGACATCGACTAATGATTGTTCGACAACATAATAAACCGATGGAGATCGACGAAATACTCTTACGCTAAGAAATATGATCGCATTGATACATGCCGCTGGAGCTCTAATTGCAAACAAAATAATTGAGCTTCAAAATCCGATTTGCAGAGCAGTTTCATACAATAACATATTTATCTTTAAGAAAAAATTGAATGGTCACTTGCACGAATACTCTTCAGTCGCAAAATAATTACTCAGATGCACTACTACGACTCTTGAGTATCCACTATATATTCTTCCTATATGATATCTTAAAATAAAATTCAATTCAGATGCTCACTAGGAGCACTCAGATATGTCAACATCAGTTGAATTATCTAGACTTATAGTTCAATCAAATTCTTTCCAACAAAAATGGAATCATCAACATGTTGCCATATAAGATGTTTTCTGCAGATTTGTAGTTCATGCGTCATGCAAATAATCTACTGGATTTTCTTCGGTTTCTGTTTCCAAAATTATGTTCAGAAAAAGATCTCTTGAAAGATGAAATACTTCTATTTCGATCCTATAAGTTATCTCTCCAAAAATCATGTTCCTCAAACAGATTTAATTAATTGACTACCAAAGTATTTGTCAGTGAAAGCTTGTTACAAGAAAGAGTTAGCGATAAATATTGATGACAGTAAACTTTCAAAAAATATTCTCAAATATTTGCTTTTAATTAGTGATTTTCAATGATCTGTATTTTACAAAACAGGTAGTAGAAAAAGTCAATTATTTTATATAAACCATTTTAGATGATAATTACTTGTCAAATACATTCAATGATGCATATATGCCAAAATCTCCTTGAGATTATTGATCTATTGTCTAAAGATAATAAGACACTCTCAGGGGGATCATCATAAGAAACGAGAATTAATTTATAACAGCAATCAATATCACACAGGGGCAATCGAGTATGTTATATCTTTTATCTACTTCCATAATTTTATTTTTCTCAAATGCCATTTCTCAGAGTGTCAATATGTCAGTCTCATTCATCTTTTCACCCACACCCTTCATGTATGCATTGTTCAACGGTTTTCAGAAGTAGCTACTACTTTAATATTAAAAATATCTTTCAGGTCGTTTTCATAAGCTTGAAACGTGTGTTTGTGTTGTTGTCGTTGTCTCTGTGCACTCAGGAATTTGAGGTAATTCGGATGGTAGATTGTTTTCTTTTATGCTATCATCTACATTGTTAGTATCACTTTCCGTCAGATTGTTGTTATTTCTTTTTTCGGGTCCAAACAGAATAATGATAAACAAATATGAATAAGTACAGGCTAAGAAAATAGCCATGACTTTACCATAATCAAACTGATGATTGCCACTAGTGTTGCTCGATGTATGAAGAGGAAAGCGTTGTCCGACTGTCGCTTCGATGGTCGATGAAGCTGATGAGATAAGATTACCGAGTTGATAGGAAGTGCCGACAGCAAATGAACGAAACTGTACGGGTGCAAGTTCCATGAGATGAATAGGCACAACACCCCAAGCACCTTGTACACAAAGTTGTTGGAAGAATGCACCAGCCATTATGCTGGCATCTTTTGGAAGTAAATAGGCCGGAATGAGAGCAGCACCAACAATAAGAACAACAAGAATAGATAGCCGTCGACCGAAGAAGCTCGAAAAATAACCAATCAGTGTACCACCGACGATAGCACCACAATTTGCGACAACTGTGGCAATAGTAACAAGACCGCCCGAGAACATTAACTGTGAGCCAAGAAATGTTGGATATAAATCTTGACTGCCATGTGATAAAAAGTTGAACCCGGTCATCATCAGAACGAGATAGATTAGAGTTGGCCAATGGTGAACTAGTGTAGGACGAATTGAACCAATGAATGCTCGCATTGCAGAAACATCATGATTAACTCCATCTAAATGATGAGAATCTATTAAAAGGTAGGATTACTTACGGGCTTACCTACGCTTGTACCAGCTGCTCGTGCCTCTTTAACACGAAGAAATGTTTGTGTTTCTGGTAGAAAGATGCGCCACAAAGCAACAAGTAGTGGAAGACCACCTGCCAACCAGAAAAGTGCTCGCCATCGGTACGGTTGGTTATTCGTAATAGCCATATTTAAAGCAGCGGCAAGGAGGTAGCCAAGTGCATAGCCTTGCTGTAGTAGACCTGATAACAGACCACGCGCAGCAATCGGTGCATCTTCAAGAGCTGTAGTAGCACAATTACCATAGATGCCACCCATGGCCACACCGAAAAGAGCTCGAACGCCGAGAAACTCCGCGTATGTTCTACAGAAACCTGTACCGATTTCGACTGTCGCGTAGAAAACAATGTTAACGATGAATGGCCATTTGCGTCCAAATCGATCGCCCGCACTACCGAAGATAATGGCACCCACAGAGCGAAGCATGAGCGTCACTGTAATACCCCACGTGATATCTGACACTGTTTTATTGTATGTTTTCGCAATTTCGATGACATTGAGAGTGACCGCGAAGAAGTCAAACGCATCCAATGTCCATGCAGAGAGAGCGACAAGAAAAAAGGCAGTCTGCTGACGATTGAGCATACGGAGAAGTGTAATCGGGTTGTCAGGTACAATCATAGGAGGTACAAGAGTGGTAAAGCGTGAGACAATATATTTTCGGATGTTCATTACTTTGTATGAAAATAACAAAATTTGAAAATTTTTCTAGTAGATGTGGCTCGATGAGAAAGGTAATGCTTACAACAAATGCTACATTCATTTATTTGTTCTCTTGATTCTGTGTATAATATTCGTTGAAGCGTGACTGCCTACCCATGAGAGGTGTCAAGACTATATCATGGGGGTGAATAAATTACCAAAACGATACGATCACCAAGTATGGCACTTGTTCGTCTAATTACTTTATGTGTCTCTTGACGAATGTAGAGAAGAACGAAGAGCAGTTCGAAACGTTTCCGATTGAATGGTTTTTCTTTTTACATGAACTATTTTATCGTTCTATCATTATTTTTTTTAAAATTTTCCTGTGCTTGTCACACTATTAATAGATAATAAAGAAAAATAAAATAAAAGAGGTGTGGATGTGTATATGAAGCAAACCACGACAAGTTTCAACCTTAATTAGACTTCTGTTATGCAGCTTCATCTCTCTAACGATTCGAGATGATCGGGAGGGTGTGTTATAGAATTAATTTATTGTAAAGCAGTTAGGCAATTGCATTGAGCATCAACTACAAAACATGAGTATTCTTCAAAAGTAAACAAATGTAGTCTATATTTTTTTGCACTGATGACTGTAAGCGAATATGTCGAATTTCGATAATATACTTAAGTAGAAATGTTTTTTGTGAACTCTCATTACTTTCGATAGTTTCGCCGAAACATAAACTAAAAAACGATTCGAGCACAGAGAAACAGTTCATTAACAAGCTGTCGTTTTTAGAACTCCATCTTATTTCGCATTTTCACCAACTAGCAAAAATATAGTTTCAAATTTTTTCATCAACCTACTAGGGAAATAGTATTTTATACATGATATGAAAGACTTTTGACCAACTTCAACTCAAAAAGCAATACCCGCCATCGAGATGAGTCTGTCAACACTCACAAACATCTATATATTATCCAAGCAAGAAATCAGACCTCTGAAATCGTTATTCCAGATTCATCTTGTAGCTCATGAAATATCATTTTGTTTTCACAGTCACACTCGACATAAGTTGAATCCGCTTTTGAATTATAATTTTAGATTATCCTTATAACTGATGAGTAACGTGAAAGGTTATATTTTCAAACTTCCCTATTTTTAGTCTCTCAAATTGTTCAACAAATGACATACATCAAGGATGTGGAATTTTTAAAATATAATTCTCTTTTCTTCTTACAGCAACTGAGGAGGAAATTGTCTTTTCATATAGCTTTATTTTTCGAAGACTCAATATTTTTAAAAGTAGTTACAAAATAGTGTTAATTATGATTCGCGTAGTGATTTTCAAGAAATAGAAAAAGTTCACTATTTTGAAACAATCATTGAATCACTATTGATCAAGGCCTTATTTTGGTTTTTTGACGCACAATCATTTTGACTTACCATACATAACAAATAGTCTCTATCATCTAAAGAAAAAGATAAAAATCAGCAAAAGAGAGTTAACTGCATTGTTTGACGACAGTGAGATTTTGTAATATTTTACTACGACGAAACGTTGCTTATTTGATGATTTTCCTTTCGAATTGTTATATACAGTATTTTATTTCTTGCACATGAAGTTCTTCTTAGTTTTTCGGGTGTGTCTCCATTCATTGACGCTGCATTAATTACATACTCGGACTATCGTATTGATTTCACATCAATTCTCAAATCTCATTTTGATTTCATCTATCGTCATATTCAACTAGATCAAGTGGTTTGTCTTAAACTTTCCGATGAAGACGATACACCTTGATCAATTACACTTTTCCTTTCTCAGTTTCAAATCGAACAATTTACCCGACTACGATCACTAGCATTGCCGGATGTTAAAACCAGTTGGTTGCAACTTATTCTTTCAAATCTATACAAACTAGAACATCTTCGTTCACTTACATTAGTAACTACACAGCTTTCTGGCCGAATCTATGAACGCAGTGATTGTCTAATAACTTTTACAGTAGAAAATCGCTTGAATTGCTTACCGCTGTCACGTCTTCAACAATTGACAATTGCAAATTGTTCTTCGTACGAAAATATTTTCATCGGATCTCCTTGTTAGGTAGTGGCGCTATCTGCGACCACTATCTCTCTTCTTTCGTTTATGTCTCTATTGGTCAGTAGATCTACTAGATTATGTTAAGTAGTAGTGAGGTGTGAGGAAGTGTTTTCTAGTGTGTATTGTTGTTGCTGTTGCACAATAAGGTAAACTCTAGTTAAACGTACGGTCTGACAATTGGTGCCGTGACCCATGCCGACAAACACTCGTCGACTAAGATAATTTTTTTTCTTCTCCTGATCAGTTATTCTGTCCCGTGTTCATTGTATTCTGATGGTTTATCTAGTGATTATAAACTTGAAGTTTCTCCTCACTACCGAATTTCTACTAATTATTGTTTATTGTCCAGTGTCTCTTTCCCTGTTATGGAAGAACTACTTAGATCACTTATTAAATTTGGTGGTACTCTTAATGAGGATGTTGTTAAATGGTTGCACGATATGGAAGAAATATTTGATCGAGTACAATTACGACCATCAAATAAATTTATGGTTACACAATCTTATTCTAATATTCCTGACTGGTCCACATTCCAGATTGAAATCGTTAAAGCTTTTCAATTATCAACTCCATCAAAAGTTTCTTTAATTTCAACAATACCACAACAGGAAAAAGAGAATGAAAATAGCCGAGTTGATTTAATTAATGATAATCAAATTAAATCATTTGAAGCTTTAGAAAATAAATGCTTACGTAGAAATGAACAAGGTTATGACTCACCTATATTAGTTAATATTAATGGTCTTGATCTGAAAGTTTAAGCACAATGCTCAGATGTAGCTACTTGTGGAATACATCCAAAAATGACATCGACATGAGAAGATTTTTTATTGATAAAATATCCAAGTAGATCTGATTCATAGAATTCAATTTTATCGATTAAATTTTGCTCGTTCAAATCATCCTTAACTTCGTTGCCTTGATCATCTAATACATTTAAATAGAGATTTATTTTCGAACAAATTATTGCTCGTGGATTAATATCTAAGTCAAAAACTTTTCGTGGGCTAAATTTTTTTGCCATAGCAATCGTTATCCACCCATTATCACAACCTAATCCAACAAGATTTCTATTTTGAAATTCAGCAGTATCGTATCTTGATAATCCTTCAAAAAATGTATATGACCATTCTTCAAGGGTAAATGTACTTGAAAAATGGAATAAGCTAATGAATTCACTCTGGCCTTTATTATTTGAAATTTTGATCGATAAAAATGGGTGTGAGTTGATTCATGTTATCTACCCACCCACATCCTACAAACACTAAAGATGAATTTTTATCAGTGAATGGAAACCACAATCATGTTGCGAACTTCATTTATTGGATGTAAACAAGTGAAAGATAAAAAGAAAGAACGTATCTTAAACGAAGCAACATCGCTTACAAAAATTTATGACGAAGAAATTAAAAAAGCGTCTCTTTCAGATGAAACAGCAGCTGCAATTTCATCGATGTTTGAATTTCTTCTGTATTTGTTTCAAAAAGCAATTATATATGAGACCCATGCTATTTTCTTGATATTATGATCGAACATGAGCAAAATCCGTTGAAAACACGCACCATTTATTCCTAAATCTCCTTAATTCACTCGAATAAAATCGCTCAGTATTACTGAGTGAAAAATTACGTTTTTGATATTTTCCCTTCCGACGTTTTCCTACATCAATGTTTTCTATTCCACATTTTCCCTTTTCGCTGTTTTCCTTTTTCGACGTTTCCCACCAAACCCGAAGATATATAAAGTTTTTTCAACTAAAATGAATGTTGGAAACAAACCAGAAATGTTTTAAAGTTTACTTATACCATACTTTTCTCGGGAAAATCCAGTGAATATTGGTGAATAGTATAGAAAATTATGTGTTACGAATGGTTTTTAGAAATTTTTTAAGCACTATCTACTTTCAGACTTAAAAAGTAAAACAGGTCTGTAGCATTGCCAAAGTACCATCGTTCGACTCAAAAAGTGGTAGAGGAATTGGAACATACAGTTCTTTGTATGTAAATAAATAGTGAACAGAGCACAATGTACAATTGACCTACCACTAATCACGAATGACATGATAAATTTGAGGCGTCAATAGAATGTTCTAGACAATATATATATATATGTCGTAGGATAGATTAAAATCCAGTACAGTTTTAAATCGAACTAGGACAGATTAAAATTTTAATTTTTCCTAGTTCAGATTAAAATTTTAAAGTGAACTAGTTGACTTCGAAATGCATTTTAATCTCAACTAGTTGACTTTAAAATTTTGATCTGAACTAGGACACATTAAAATGTTTAGTCAAATTATCCGTGGC